TTGTCCAATTCCACAGTCCTTAGATACCTTTTCAGGGCTAGATGTTTTCTGATATAGGGTCTTTTTATTGTGGTTTCTCTTTTTATTGTGGCACTCTTTCACATGTCTCTTGCCAAGAGTCTCTTTCCAATTATTCTGTGACTTGGAGTATATTAGCCTTTTTCTGATAGTGTATTTTGTCCTTATGCCCATGGATACTTCTACTTTCTCTTTCCTGGGTCTTTGCTTTTTACCACAAGACTGGAGGCTGGTGCCCATGGCATGTGGGGCAAATATGAGACATCATAGATGAGTGGCTTTACCTTGAGATGTATTTCTCTTTTTCATTTAGAAATGTTTGTAGTTTGGATATTCTTTGTCTTCAGGCTACACAGAGGTTATAGCTATTGTTCTATATTGGTTTTGGAGGAAATATTGGAAGACAATGATATATTTATGCAATAGTGTTTTCCAGATCAGTGAGTTTTGACAAAAGGCTAAATCCATGCATCAGGTACCATAATCAAGATAAAAAGAATATTTTCAATAACCCAAAAGGTTCTTTTTTTTGTTTGTGTGCTTTTTTGTTTTTGTTTTTGTTTGTTTGTTTGTTTTTGCCAGCCTGGGCCCCAGACTACCACTGATCTGATTCTTAACATTGGAAGTTAAATTGGGGGTCAAGGTGCTCCCCATTTCTTGGCCTCTAAAGTTAGAGATTTAGTTCATTGAACTCAATTTTTCTTTGTCTAAACATGCCAAATTTCCTCAAGTCCTGACAATTAAAGTATTTCTTCATTTTTGTTCATGTTGGTACTTTGTTTCCTGTTTACTAGTGCAATTATCTGAGACAGCTCTCTGTGTTTTGCTTTTTCTTCCCAAGTATTCTGTGATTAGAAAACATAATCTAACTATTTTAATCTTAAATTCACTAGGAGACTTCATTGTGAGTCTTGATGACTATTTTGTGAGCATTTGGTTTGGTTAGAAGGTTTTTAAATGTTAATTTGTTAAAGGTGGCCAGTGGTATGATCTACATCCTAACATTTGTTAGGCTGTAGCTTTTTCTATAACATAACTCAGAATGAATAATAAAATACCTAACTCTGTTTGTAGACTTGCTTCTTTTTCTGTTACTCTTGTCAATTTTTACATTGTGTATTTGAACCTTGATTCTTAGGATTCCTCAATAAGACAGGAATGTACCCGTTTTACTCATTTTGTTTGCATCCCCCAGGGGTTAACATCCCTTCAATTTTTGTTTGCCTTTGTTTGGTTTTCAAATGGTTCTTTCTAAAAAAGTGTTTTATAATTATTACTAGTTAAACATTTTGCAAATGACAAAAATGATAACCCTATTTCTTTTTTTAAAACAGAGTATTGTTTTGCAGTGTGCTTATTTATCTTTCCCTCGGTGTAATAATTAATAATTAATCAAGTTACTGTATAGCCAATGCCTAGGTTTTTTTTTTTTAATACCCAGGTTATTTGGAAGGTTTCTTAGTTATTATTCTATTGCTATGAAGAGGTACCATGACCCAAGCAGCTTATGAAAGAAGGCATTTAATTGGGAGCTTGCTAACAATTTCAGAGAGTGATTTCCATGACCATCATGGTGGAGAGCTTGGTGGCAGGTTGTCACTCTTTCGTCTTGGTGCTGG